GCATATCTGATGTTATTAATAGTTTCTCCCCCGATTCGAACTCCATATTGCCCTTCCAAGGCTTTGTTAAAAATTATTTCTTAGTAAACGTTAAACAAAGTGGGGGACAACACACAACTCTGTCTAACACCTCTTTGAATACAAATTGTGTCTGTTTCTTTGCCGTCTACCAGAATAAAAGCTTCTTGATTCCAATATAGATGTTGTAAAAGTCTCAGATCTTTATCATCTATTATATATACTAGATACTATTATACTAGAAAATATATACAGAAATGCTACAATAACTATAAATCTGCACGGTCCTAGCAATAAGATACATATCAGGAGAGGTACTCGACAGGGAGATAATATGTCGCCAAAGTTGTTCATTACTGTACTTGAACATGCTTCGAAGTCACTGGAATGGCAAAGTAAAGGAATAAATATTGATGGTGAGATGCTTAGTCATCTACAATTCACAGATGATATTGTTCTGATTTCAGATGATCTAAAGGCTGCCAGATATATCAAAATAGATACTCGATAATTCAGCCAGATATTCCCAAATTTTCTTGGTACAAGTCTTTTAGAGCTTCCAGGAGGCACATAACTTCCATTATTAGAATACGTTTCGGACACGCATGTTATCCAAAGCGGATAACTTATTTAAAATAAAGGTTTTGGATGATGATAAATGTGAGCATTGTGGAGAGGAAAGTGATTTAGATCATATATTTTTTTGTTGTTCTAAAAACAGAGTCTACTCATCCATAAATGATTTATTAAAATATAAAATAGCAGCTCCTTGGAATATGCTACATTTATTATCGCTTGGCTCTGTAGATATTTACAACTCTTTAATAAAATTTTTAAAAGACAGCAAATTATCATTATAATTCTCTAAAAATTATTTAGTTAATCTTGTTACCTTTGTTTTAAACCATTTGTATAACTTCCTCCTCTCCGTGACCTAGCGTTGTTATGTCTTATATTAATCAATGCCTTGATAGGTCCCTAGGCGAGAAGAGTGTGTCCCTGTTCTCCTAATATCGATGTAATCTTCTATCTTGGTAGGGCATTTAGGTAAATAATTATAATGATGACTGTCTTAGTTCTTTTGTGTCTGGCTGTATGACGATAGTCTAAGCCAAAAAAAAAAGGCTGCCAGTGATATGTTGAATGAACTTAGTGATCCAGCACGTAAAGTAGGTCTGAATATTAACGAAAAAAATTATGACTAATTTAGTTCCGAGCCATCCTTTAAGGGTAGAAGACGTCGAAATTGAAATTGTTGACAGCTACATATACTTTGGGCATACGGCAAAAATTAGCAGAGATTATCAAACTGCTGAGCTGCTAAGAAGAATAACACTGGGATGGGCAGCATATGGACGACTGCGTGATATTTTTAAAGGTGATATACCTATCAGCTTAAAAAGAAGAGCCTTTAATCAGTATGTCCTGCCTGTCCTTACATATGGCGCAGAGACATTACCATTAGGCTTACCCTATCAAGAACATCTGCACGAAAACTACAAGTGACCCAACGTAGAATGGATCATTGTTAGGCATAACGTTGCGAGATAGGGTAAGAAACAAAGAAATCCGTAGAAAAAGTGGTGTAGAAGACATTATAAAACACATAACCAAAATTAAATGAAAGTGGGCAGGACACGTCGCTAGAATTAAGGATAATAGGTGGACCAAAGAAAATCTTGGAGCGGAGACCGAGAGCGGATAGACGAAACCCGGGAAGACCACCCAAAACATTACAGTACATTTCAGTTGTGATCCTAATACCAGATATCCGATATTAGGACAAGATATTTCTCATCTTGCTTTTGCTGAATGCACTCCTAGCTTTCTCTATTCGAATTTTAATAGTCTCGTGTGAGTGGTCCCATTGTTCTTTTATTATTGTTCTAAGATGGTAAACTGTTTTACTCGGTGTAGGTTGATAAGCAGTTGGGTTTCTCCAATTTTATTTTTGAGGATGACCATAAATTTAGTTTTTTAATGTTTATATTTAGTCCAAATCTTTCACTTACTTTATTTGTTCATTAGCTGTTGTAAACTTTTTAGAATGTATGCAAAAATAATGTGTCATCTACACATCGTAAGTTATTTAGGCATCCTTCATTTGGAACTATTCCATATTAGCAATTTTCCCATGTTTTACTAAATATTTCCACTGAATTATTTCATTTATAAATATTATTTTGGAAGTTTGGAACCATAAAATATCAATGACGTATAATATATAGACTACGCAGTCCCCTATTCTCGCTATAGAATCAAGTGTCCGAAAGATCTCGGCTCAAGGTTGAAGGTATGTTTATCACAACAGCGGCGTGCTCATTTATATGTTAATGACAATAATTATTTTTTTAATTAAAATTAAATATTTATGATTTCTTTTTGTCAAGTCTATAAGAGAAATAATTATTTTGATAAAATAGTATGGCATTTTACTAAAATAGTAAGTAAATAACTCTCAACAATTTAAAATAAAATTTGCTTGTCACACAAAATGGAGAGAATGTTTTCATACGTCCATGATGTTTTAAACACAAGATCAACTTCGTGATGCTTCGTAAGAAATCATGAACTTCGTGCATCTTCGTATCAAAACAATAAACAATAACAAAGGTATTCATGTTTTGGACACTTTTTAAAGCGTTCACCGAGTCTATATATTATACGTCATTGTAAAATATACTATTATATAGGCAACGCCTTAAACAAAATCAGGAACTGAAAAACGGCAATAATAAATAGCTAAAACTTTTTTACTTCCGGATTTTAAAATTAAAATATATCCAACTAGGCGTTTATACCCACAAAAATAACGTTGGGTAGGACTGTCAAATACTTTGCAACAAAATGGAAATATTTAAACATCTGGAATATAACATTTTACATAAAATATACTATTATATAGGCAACTTTTTAAACAAAAACGAGAAATTCAAAATCAGCAATAGATACAACACAACTAAAGCTTGATTACTTCCGGATATTAAAAATTAAAATACATCCAATTATAGGCGTGTATCCCAAAAATAACGTTGGATAGGACTGTCAAATACTAGGCTACAAAAGGGAAATAAGATAGATATTTTACTATAGAAAATTTATGAGTACCTAGGTACAAATTAAATTTTGACTTCGACTAGGGCACTTCTTCGTCTTCTTTTTATATAGACATGACTCTGTCTGTTTTTCAATGTGCCTCCTGCCTCCAGTAAGTTGTCATTCCTTCGTTTTCGTGGTCTTCCTACTGATCGTCTTCGTATTGGGGAACCGTCTCTTGCCGTCTTTACTACTCTATTTGTTGTCATTCAGCTTATATGATCGTTCCATTCTACTCCTCTATTTCTTACCCAGTTGTTGATGTTCTCCACCTTGCATCTATGTGGTATATCTGTACTTCTAGCTCTGTCCCATAGTGTCTTACCATCAATTTTTCTGTTTTTCAAAGTGTTTTCAGGGCACTGAATAAGTTTACTCAGTGGACTGGAAGTCACCACACCACCAAGCACACACACATTTTTTTCTTTTTTTGGAAGTCATCTGTTATAACATAGTTGTACTGCAGCCAGTTGGTTTACTACAATCTGTTTAGTTATGATTAAACAATGGTTATGATAACCATTTCAGGATTTTGGAAATATATACTAGCTTGCTCGTACAGGTCTAGAGCATTGGTACATGTTTTTGGAGTTCATAATAGTCTTCAAAAAGTGTTTGAGCACCTGCGATCTAATGCCTCAGTGCTTTTACAGGTGTACAGTGTGGGTACATGTTTTATGGAGTTCTTGATAGTTTTAAAAAAGTGTTTTCCGCCTAACCATGCAATATATGCTAAATTTCTGCTTATATCCATAAAACATCTCCATTGTATGCAGTTGACTGGTATAGGTCTAGCAAGGAAGCCTATTATTACCCGGGAACCTTTTAGCACATGTATATCCAATATACATTTTGGAATCTGCTTGATTTCATATATTATCCCAGTTAGAGTAAAGTCATCTTGGCTCTATCCTGGCTTTTTTTGTGGTAACAGACAAAGCTTTTTGGCACTCCAACAATTACTTCTGGATGTAAGTATTTTACAGCTGATGTTCTTATGGTCCTAGATGATGATAAACATCCTGGCTGAAGAACACCGGTCAGTGGTATGCAATCAGAACCACAATATTTAGCTCCACTGCGCAAAAAGTAACCATCATACTGTTTGCCAATGTTCTCAGAGAACAAGGAACTTAAAAGAAAAACTGTACCTGCATTTAACAATAAATAAAATGACATTAAATAAATCAATAAAAAAAATATGTGTAAATCAGCACAAAATTTATTACTAATTCATACTTATACATATTTTAAGATCTCCACAGAGTCTTTCAGGACAAAACGGGAGAATTTGTGTCTCTACAAACTTCCAAATTAATAGAGTCCATAACTATATAGTTTAACTCTACATAGTTTATCACTGGTTCAATAATCTTAGTACTAGCTTTATATATGTAGTAAAAAGTTTATTAATAAAACCTATTATTGGTGATACTTTGATCAAATTTAAGCTTTTTTGAATAAATATTCTTTTATAAAGAAACATAGAATCACATTAAAATTTATAAACTTATTGCTTGTTTTATTTTTACCCAATTGTATATCTTCACAAATTAGCATATTTAGAAGTAGCTAATATATAAGTTAATAATCACCTACATGTAGGCATGAATTAATAAGATTATCTACTAAGGATTTTTTAGTTTTGTCAATAATGCTCTTTGAGCACTGATTAATTGGGTGACTCTGCTACTTACATTCAACTTAACATAATGCAGAACTTCTTCTGTATCATTTTTGCATAAGAATATTGCTACACTATGAAATAAAATTATGAAAAACAATTATAAAACAACAAATATATATTTACTAAATATACATAGATCACAACATCAGATAAAAACTAAATTCAGTCTTTGGTTAAAGCAATTATTTAAAATACTTATTTAATTGTTCTGTTTACTAGCACATTCATTAAAAGGAACATTCTCCAATTTTACAGTTTCATCTCTTATTTTAGCTTCGAAAACGCCAGGTTTTACTTCTTTTGCTTGTATTACCGTAGTTCTTAATTCCTTTTCTACCTCCTCTGAATACTTAACCAATTCTTCAATAGCTACTGGATCAGAAACATGTTTACATTTTTTGTATTCTTCATTGATTTTGTTTCTAGCCTCCGTTAAAGCGAGTATATCACCATTAAATATATTTTTTCTTGTTTTGTGTATGTTTTTAAAGCTTTGAAGCACCTTTGCTCTGAGAGTTCCGGACATTTTATAAAATTTAATTTAAAAATAGTAGCTAAACTTGTTTGCCGACCTTACATAATTAAAGGTAACCTCACATTGTCACGTCACATCACCTCTTCTTCTTGTTATTTTATTTGTATTATCCCGGCCTTTATTGTATCAGCCAATCCAGGATGTGGCAAGTTTTTTGTTTGTTGCGGTTTTAACCTTGTTTCTGCAGTAATTCTTCTATTATTTTTAAAATATAGCACTTTATGATTTTTGGTATAATTTGTTTAATATATAAACTGCTTTAGTTTGTGGCTAGCGTATAGTTGGTTGCCTAATAAAATACGAAATTGATTGCCTAAATTTTATCTCTTTCTGTATGTCTGATTATTTTCTTTTCCTCTAGCAATTCCACAAAACAATTTAAGAAAAATGGAAATTAATATAAAACAGCTGCAACACGTATATTTTTATTAAACAAAAACACATTACATTTTGTATTATAATATACAAAAGCCTAGGTATATCACAAAAATGATTTTGCAATTTTGTAAGAAAAGCATTACATTTTGGCATGTCGACGATTTTCAGAAATAGTTTTTTTTACAAAGGGACAATGCTTATATATTGCATAGAAAGTTTTTAAAACACTGATTATTAATATTAATTAAGTTTTTTTTACATAAAAGTAAAAGTGTTTTATTGATGTTAAAATTATTACAATACCTTGAGATCCAAGACTCAAAAGCAAATACCTATGTTATATTAAATAATCTGTACTTAAAAAATAAAGCTGAGGGACAATGAAGAGTCTAAAAAATATCCAGTGAATCCTTGAATGTTCAAACTTTTATCATTTATCCGTAACAGGTACATTTTAATACCGATATAGATGTAATGTACATGTACCTATATATTACATATAATATTGTGTTCCTTTCACTACAAAATTACAAAAAATGAAATCTTAAACTAATTTTTGGTTGTTACTCTGACTTCCTAAAGTTGTCATTGCGACTCCATTTAGCGTCAAAGAGGAATGTGTACGAACCGATGAAGTATTTGGCGAATAGTGTATACCAAATATTGTACATTTCTGAGCTAAGTTTAGAAGGATTTTCTTCTTGCAAATAAATATAATGAAGATAAGTACACCTAAAAAGTAAAATATGATTAGATACAAAAATAACAATGACAAAGGCATATAATTTTAATAAATACTTATTCATCTACTACTACTGTTTTTAGTCTATTTACAGCCGTAAATAGTTATTTTGGCATTAATAGACGATACAAATACGTTTACACAATTTTGAAACGAAAACGCTCATATAGTCCAGTCATCAGAGGTTTGACATTTAAACATCATAGGAACAAGGTCAATTTAGCTAAGAATCACAATTTTGGGATTCCAAAAAAGATGTAAAAAAGTTTGCCACTCCTACCTCTAGGCTTCCCTCCAAAATCACCCTCGTAGGTAGTGGGGAGGAACGGCAAACATGGATTTTGAATTTTGAACAAAAATATTTAGTAGCAATTTTAATGTAGATTGAACGGTTCTCTCAGAAACAACGCTTGAAGCGACCGGCGATTTTAAATGCTACTTATACACGAAATCATTGCTTTAATTAATTAAATTTTGTATTAACTCGGAGAAGATGACAAGACTTAGGAAGAAACAGGCCTAAAGGTTAATGTTTTAAGTAAAGACGAATAAGTAGAATAATGTGTATTTAAAATGCCTTGAAATTATTTACTGAATTTGATTTAATGAAATAGAAAAATTGCGACTTATTTCAACTAGAGAATGTGACTTATGATTTTGAGGAGTTAATTAAGTATCATAGTTAATGTGGGTTAACGCTAATATTATAGGGGAAGTGTGCCTATATTGGACCCCTGCCTATGACGGACCCCCGGCTGTAATTTTAAATAGCGCGCGGTTACATACACATCGCCGGTTGCCGCTTGCGCACGAAGTTTGTAGTTTAGTATTTGCAAAGTTTCAGACACGTAGCTGTTATAACAGTAAATTTGTGAAATAAAATTAAAATTTGGCGTTGCTGATCTAATAAATTTTTTTGGTAAGTAGCATTTTACTGGTAACATACGTTAAGCTAAGTGTTGCTTTTGTTTTGTATAAAATGATTACACTTTCTTTGTCAAATACTATACTTTGTTTTAGGTTAAAATGGTCAAAACAAAAGTAACAGAATTAAATTTACTGCCTTGTCTATTTGCCTATGATGGAAGTATCAAAGGTGATTTGGGAGGACGAAGACCAATATTCTCCACTACTATTGAACAGGAAGTTGCTGACCATATTATTACTATGGAAACTCGTTTTTTTGCCTGACTAGTAAAGATTTGCGAAAACTTGTATACGAAGTAGCCGAAAGAAACAATATTAGCCACGATTTTAATAAGGAAACCAGGATGGCAGGCTGGAAATGGATCAGAGGCTTTTTAAAGCGAAATCCTCGAATATCATAGAAATCACAGAAAATACTTTGTTGGCAAGGGCTCAAGCTTTTAATAAACCAAATATATGTGCCTATTTTACTGCATTAGCAAATATATTAGACGAGTTTCACTTTCCACCGGAAAACATTTATAATATGGACGAGTCCGGTTTGACAACTGTGCAAAAGAAATCGTAGAAAATTTATGCTAGTAAAGGTCGTAAACAAGTTGGTGCTTTAAGTAGTGCAGAGCGCGGTCTACATGTTACAGTCGTATGTGCAATGAATGCAATTGGAACATATGTTCCTCCTGCTTTGATTTCTCCTCGACAGAGAAAGAAAGATGAACTTATGATCAATGCACCTACTGGAAGTATAGCCTTCGCTCAAGAAAAAGGATGGATGATTTCCGATATTTTCTATTTGTGGCTGCAACATTTTTTAAGGTATACAAAGGCTTCTAAAACCAACAAAGTTTTGTTGTTACTCGATGGCCATGGTAGTCACAAAAGTTTTGAAGCTCTCCAGTTTGCAAAGGAAAACGGTATTATTATGTTTTGTTTTCCTGCTCACTGTTCTCATCACGTTCAAGCCTTGGACGTAGGATTTTTTAAACCACTTTAAATTTACTACGGCCAAGAAATTCAATTATGGCTGCGACAGAATCCAGGTAAAACGGTGACCCAATTTAAAGTAGCCAGTCTCTTTAATAGAGCGTATTTTAAAAGTGCTTTACCATCAAATGCAATCAATGCATTTAAAAGGACAGGAATACAACCATTCAATCCAGATGTCTTCGAGGATTGGCAATTTTTGCCGTCTATAACAAAAGATAGAGAAAATTCTGAACAAAACCCACTGCCAGAATGTTCTGACCAGAAGTCACCACCGGAACATTGGAGCCAAAATGTTTCTTCGATTGAAAGTTTATCAAAAAGCCCCACTGATCAGAAATCAACATCATCGTCAGTTCTAAACATCTCGGTAGAAGATATTTGTCCTCCTCCTTTAGCTGGAGTATCTCAAGTAATGCAGAAAAGGGGTAGAGAACGGGGTAAAACAGGATATTTAAATTCAACGCCAGAAATTGAAGATATAAAACAAAAAATTGCAGACAAAGAAGCAAAAAAAAAGGAAACAAGACGCCAGAAAAGTGAAAAGGCAAGTTCGTGTTTCAACTACAAGTGCTTCTGAAGACGATTGTGAATGCTCTTTTGTAGAAGGCGACTCGGACGATGCAGCTTGCATCTACTGTAACGGATTATTTTCGCATTCACGATCCAATGAACAATGGATTCGTTGTCAAGTGTGTAAGAATTGGTGTCACACTGAATGTGCAGATGTAAATCCTCGACATAAACAATTTGTGTGTGAATTGTGCGCGTAATTTTTTTATTCTTAAAAATACCATGTGTAATATTTTTTATCGTTTGTAATGTCTTTTGATCTAATAAAATAATTTGGTATTTAATTATTTTACACAAAATGCAACGAATCCATCATGGGCGTACCAAAGGGTCCATCATGAGCATATATGCCCATGATGGACCCTTAACAGGATTTTAGTAAATTATGAATAAATTTTTAACATCACTTTTTCTACAAAATTTGAAACATTTGCCATATTGTACAAATAACGAGACGTTATGTGGTCATATTTAAAGTCTGCTAAGTAATTAATTAAAATTATTATGAAGCTATTTTCTTAAGGGGACCATCATAGGCACATTTCCCCTACATATGCAGGATTTTTCCGATTTGCGGTAATTTGAATTTTTATACGGTTTGAGTTTGTGACCTTAGTCATTTTTACCTTGTAAAGCATTAAAACTGTCAAATACGATTTCAATATATTTTGGTACAGTTCCCAGTTCACTCATATTAAAGAATGCAGTCACAACTTCGAAGATATAAGATATACCCATAACAATGGATAGTTTAAGAATCAGGAACAACCTAAAAATGATAAACATATAAGAGAAAATTAAAATTAAAATATTGGTTTTGCGATACAAAAAGCAATAAAAGTAATTCATATTTTAACAAGCAGGTTAATAAAAAAATTATTTAGTTATTTTAGTACCTAATAATTCTGGTGTTAAATTTAGTAACATCACAAATTTAGCTTAACATAAATGATGATGCGTTAAATGTTAAAATAGTTGGTCGAGGTGTCAATATACTTGAGTTCAAAATTGATTTAGTATCGATAAAATCGATTGATAAAATGCTATTTTTATACTAATTGGATAATTTCCAACCGGTTGATCAAACTGGCTTTCACAAAGAATATAAAAGATGGTGTTGACATAGAGCTGGAATTAAATCGGAATTGCGAACAGAAATATTCTAAATGTGCCTATCTTCTAGAGGTATTGGCGACCACATTGACCCATCTTATTCTATTCACAGCAGCTCGAAATAGATCACTTGACGTTAGATCAGTCCATTTCCTAAGATTGGCCAGACAGGATATACGTCTACGTCCAGGGCCTCTCTTACCTTCAATCTTGCCCTGTAAAATCAACTGTAGAACAAAACTGTATTTTGTTTATTTGGAATGTTGTCTTTGATTGATCGAACATGAGATGAAAGTTTTTGTTGGAGAGTGAATATTACATCTTTATTCCTTTTTATTAAAGACTTTTGTCGATTTTGTCATTGTTACCTTTGATGTAAGGAAGAAGCTTTCGTATGATGAGGGTCTGAGTTTTTAATGTGATTTTATCGGTAACCGTTTTGGATGAGGGCTTGTTTTAAAAATAGAAAGCTCAACGGGTCTACTTGCATCATTGCGAAGGCGTAGTGATCTGGAGACAAGGGATTAATGACTGAATTAATTTGTAAAACTGGATGATAAGAATTAGCATGACGTAACGATTGGTATAGGTGTGTTTTTAATTAACAGAGTAATAAAAACTTTGAGATTTAGTTTTCTTTACGATATCGTCGAGAAACAGTAGGGATAAATTAGTTTCCATCTCTATCGTGAACTGGATACTAGGATGCATACCATTCAGATGGGTTGGAAAATGTAATAAAGCATCCCAGCCAAGGGCCAAATTACGAATGTATTGTCAGTATGTCGTAGCCAACATAAGGGTTTGAGCATTAATGTGGATAGTGTTCGGGTCTCGAAGTCTTCCATAAAGATATTGGCAATTACTGGAGATAGAGGGGAGCCCATTGGGGCACCATTTATTTGTCTGTAGAATTGATTTTGGAAGATGAAATACCTAAGTGTTGGACATAAAATGTTTAATGAGACATGGAACGTTGAGGAATATTGATATCGGGAAACACAACTTATATAGTTTAACTCCATACTTATGTGGCTTTTGAGGAATATACTGACGAAACAAGAGGCGTTCCTTGCATGGTTCAAAATGGCAAAATTTTAAAATCTGCAAGAATCTATTTGCTGCAAATAGATTTTTTAAGAACATATTTATATATTATATATAATTCAAAGAGTGTCCAGTTTTAAATATCTTGGTTGCCATATTACTGAACAACTAGATCCAGATCAAGAGATAAAATGTAGAATCGAGATAGCCCGCACGACATTTTTAAAAATGAGGTCATTCTTCTGTAATGATAACTTGAAACTTCAACTTCGAAAGCGTATGGTTAAATGCTACATTTGGTCAGTCCTCTTATACGGTGTCGAAGCATGGACATTAAAAATATCCACCATTAATCGTCTGGAGGCCTTTGAAATGTGGCTGCACAGACGTATACTAAAAATTCCATGGACGGCTATGCTGACAAATGTGGCAGTCCTTGAGAGAGCAAATGCTGCTCTCATATAGAACATATTTCCATAATTATCTTGCTTAGACCAAAATAAGGTCTCAAATGGACCAAGATAAGCTCTGAATTCTCTCAGAATATTTAATTATACCGATAAGATTTAATGCAGTAAGAAACTTTTTCATTTCGTCACAATTAATAGGTGTCCAATTGTATTATTTTTGCTTCTACAATCTTTTGAAAATACACTGTTCAGCATACCGATTTGTTTCATCTACCATAAACTAAATTACTTTGTGCGGTAAAAATAATTTGTGTTTACAATAAGGATCCCCTATGTTAACGTTGTTGCGTGAAAAGGGATTTGACTGTTGGTATTCTTCAAAATCATGGTTGACACATAAATTTACCTCGTTGATAAATATTCTATTACGGGGGTGCTGTCTGTTGTTATTGGTTTGTTTGTGGGGTTTTTGGTTCCTCTACTTTATCGAAATTTGTCGACAACGAAGATACACTAGATGCATTTGAGATGCTAGGCCATCACTAGCATCACTATCGTTTGAAAAAACAGCTGTTCTTGAAAACATTCGTGAAAATAATGTAGTTACAGGTGTACTACATTGTCTACAATACAGAGAATCAGTTTCAGATATAGCCAAAGAAGTAACTTATTTATCGCTTTGCTGTGATTCTCCAGTATCTACCTAGTGTGGGAAATCATTTCTGTAATCATTTGGGATGAATAATTAGTTGTAGTTAATTTACTTATATTCAAATTAATTTATCCTGTGTAAACAGCTCTGGGGGCTGTGGCAGGTGAAGTGATTTCATTATGGGGATGTGTTTTGTTTCTTAAATCATCGGATTTAGTTTCACTCTCAACAAGTTGATTGCTACAACATGCAAGCTTAAAGTATTTTGGATGACAACTATTTGATATTTTAAATATCTTTATTTTCGCCATATTTTTTGATAATTTTTATAGTTACAAAATCACATGTTATAATCAACAAAACCCCTTTTTGGGATATTTCCACCGAACGTCAAAATACAAATATACGAAAAAAACTATATGTCCTAGGCGCAAGAACCATCGTAAATTGAAATGTTTTATTAGTAAAATTAGACCTAATCTAAACTTGGTACGGAATTATGTTAACCTGTAACATTTATTCCCATAAATACAACATTTAACAGATAATCGTCGGTCGTTCATGTGATGTTAATGATACAAATTGTCTAAAAGCGTTTACTAGCATTAATGCCTAGATCAAAAAATATATTTTTTCAAAAAAATAATTCTAAAACATATTTAGAATTTTGTACTGAAATTCTAATTTCGAAAACTAGTATATTTTATAAATTCATTTCAATTCAACTTCAATACAAACAAGCATTATCAAATTGGAACTGAAAATATGAAAGTTACGATGAAGAAAAAAAATGAGATTTAAAAAATTGAATGCAATGATCTTTTACAGAGTTTATTCTATAAATTCTTGGTAAATGTTTTAATACCGTGTTAAAAATATTTCATTTTAATATAATTTTTCTGACATAATCTTCCTTGCTTTAAATATGTTTCAATATTGCTTAAAACCATTTCTTAAAACACCTCATAAATTTAACTTTCAAATTACTTAAAAAAAAATTCGCAAACCAATCATTCTGTTTAGAAAATTGTTTGACGGGTAAAATTTATTGGTACTACAAATGACACTAGATTTAGTAGATAAACACCAATGAGAGGAAATCCGCAAATGTAACCTTCACAAATCAAAAGGAGAATTTTACCTACCTGCAATTTTGAATAATCAAGATTGTTTCAATAAGATGACATCAAATATCAATCCTATACCTATCAGCACCATGCAAGAAACAACCAAAAAGTATAAAACTTTTAATAAAAGCAAGTAACTATGGATGACTGATGAAATCTTTAGAGTGATAAAAAACGTAAGAAGACAGAAAAATAAGAACGCTGAAGAATACAACAAAACAAATACGGAAATCCCAAAGATAATCCGGAATGCAAAAAATAGTAAAGTAGCACAGAAATAATAAAAACAATAAAAATTCGAAAGATGCAGTATTTTGGGCACGTAATGAGACATCTCACAATAAAACAGATAATGGAAAAATGCTGGGAGTTTGATCGTGAGCTTCATCAGATGTTCATAGATTTTAAACAAGCATTTGATAGAGTATGTAGGGACAGACTGTGGACAGCGATGCAGAAACTTGGTTTCCAAAAAAACTAGTCCGGTTGATACGGATGTGTATGGAACGGTTACGATGTAAGGTGAGAGTTGGACAACAATACTCGGAGACATTTGAAATAAACAATGGACGAAAACAGGGAGATGCACTTTCACCACAACTCTTCAACTTAGCTCTGGAGCACATAATCAGAAGTGCAAGAATCGAAAAAACGAATACAGTATTTCATCGAGAGGGACCAAACTTACTACTGGCATTTGCAGACGATATAGATCTAATAGGAAACACGCGATTAAGGATGAAGGAGACTTTCGTAAGGTTTGAGAAGGAAGCAGAGAAGATGGGGCTCCAAATCAACGAAAACAAGACGAAATATATGAGCCGCAATAACCAAAGCAGAGACAGAATCGGTCAGAACATTACCATCGATGACTTTAACTTTGAGCGCGTTAGAGAATTCAAGTATCTTGGAACAACAATAACTGAAGACAATAACGGATCACAAGAAATAAACAACAGGATTCAGGCCGGCAACAGATGTATTTTTGCCCTCCAAAACCTTATAAAATCAAAGCAACTAACACGACGTACGAAGATACAGGTCTATAAAACAATCATACGACCCGTCGTGATGTATGGAAGCGAAACGTGGACGATAACAAAGGCAAATAAAGAGAGACTACGTGTTTGGGAAAGAAAAATCCTAAGGAAGATCTTTGGTCCGGTGCTTGATGAAGCATCAGGACAATATAGGATAAGAACTAATAAAGAGCTTGAAGAACTTTACCCAGACGCCAACATCATAAAAGAAATAAAGTCCAGAAGATTCCAATGGGCAGGACACCTCAGAAGACATTCTGACGAACGAACAGTAAGACTGGTGTGGGAGGAAGTCCCAACTGGAAGGAGACCACGCGGACGCCCTCGTCTCCGGTGGCGAGATAATATAGCAGCAGACCTAAGCACTATGGGCGTGGAGAATTGGATAGAGGTTGCTCAAGACAGAAAATAGTGGAGGCATGTTGTCGAGTCGGCTAAAAACCACGAAGGGTTGTAAAGCCACGGAGTAAGTAAGTAAGTAATGAGACATCTAGAAATTTACAAACTTTTACACCTATACAGGGCAAGATCGCTGGAAAAAGAGACTCAAGCTGAAGAAGAAACATTAGCAAAACTGTTTTCATCTGCCGTAAAGTTCGATAATCTCACTGAGTATTTAAAGAAGAAGAAAATACCTATAAATGACTCTTGATTAATAATACCATTTTAGTTTGGGAAATAAAGGACTAGTATATAAAGTAATAGCGTAAAAATCATAATCAATGACAAAACAATTAATAAAACAAGACATGCTGATGATACAGTCGTTCTTGCTGGCAGTCTACCGGAACTACAGAAACTTACAGACGACATTGTAAAATGTAGCGAGAGTTATGACCTATATATGAACATCAGAATTCAGAAGAGAGAAACTTGTGGTCTAACGTTAAACAAATGTCATCCTTTCAAGAATTGAACAAGCTAGGAAGATGTTTATCGGAATAAAAAACTTTTTCAAAATGCGGGATCTAGACATGAGATTTCGAATCCGAATGCTGTGCTATTATGTTTTTCTAATTTTTTTCTAACACTGTGTGAGCCGGTTTCTTAACACGCTATTGTAAAAACTCAATAAAGCCTTTCAATTGTACCACTATAGGAGAATAATATGTATCCCCTGGTTTTAAAGGATAACAAATAACAAAGTTCTTAACAGAATACAGAAAACCAAGTAGTTGATGCCAACGATCAAAAAGCGTAAACTAATGTACATTGGGCATATAAGGAGAAAAAACAGATACAAACTACTTCGGTTGATCTTTAAATAAAAGAAAGAAAAGAAAAAGAAAAAATTTTTCGCTCAAGGACCTGTGGCGTTGGCTCGGCAAAACATCGACCTAGACCTTCAAAACCGCTGATTCACGCGGAGCTGTAGCTAAGCTAAGCTAAGCTAAGATCGCTAACCATCGAAGGGAGATGGCACGGTAAGAAGAAAATATAAAGTAAAATTAAATTAAGTTTACACTTTCGTTCTAAGCTATGAGGATAATTGTTAACGCACCATGATTTGCTCCAACCGAAACGAAGAGAAACGAAGAGAAAAGTGTAATGCTACGAAATTAATTAATAGTTTGAGTTATTCTGTCATTAAAAAGTTGTGTTAATGCTTTATTAAATAAATAAAACAGACTAAATATAATGAAACGAACAACTGCAGATTGCAAGTAAATTAGCAAATCAAAAAAATATCTTACAATTAATCGTGACAGCATCGTGGTCACCTCTAATTAATATTAGAGCTAATATTCAATACTAAAAATTAAAAGCTAACTTGATTATTGTTTATATGGCATCAGATAACTATTTCCTAATTACCAAGAATTTACAGAAACTACCCTTCAACATGAAGATTTAATATATAAATAATATGCTATTACCAATTATACCTTTCTCTGTCATGGTTATACTTCTTTTTGGAATGAGTTATTCGTCCGTCATTAATTTTATTAATTTCATTGCGCACTTTTACGCAATAAATAATAGTCTTAACGAAGAAAATCATATTTATTATTTGTATTATGAGCAGCGGTATATTCAGGAATAGGAATTTTGCGTAATTTCCTTGTTCTAGAACAAAAAAGATTAACAAATGTTAGTACAATAACATGCTCTTCACAATATTGATATCAAAAGATTCTCTTAATACTTTTTTCTTAAAAAAAACTATTACTCTATATTATTTAGGCTGATTCAAAAGTTTACCAAATAGAAACAAAAACAAATGCATTTATAGTGTAAAAAATTTCAATATTCTCCAGTAAATTCTAGAAAAGAGCCATACAATTTTTTCAGAGTGTCGAAAATCGTTGTGTACAGAATTTTTTGCGGTTTGGCAACATATCGTAATTGTAGGTAGCCAGATAGTGAGAGAAGGTTAGACGTTTTAAGCGGTCGTTTATGTTTTTTAATTAGCTTAAGTCCAAAATGTTCTCATAATACTGATCTGTTATACTTTAACCGATTAGAAGATAATGACATAATTGTCTTAGACTATTTCCACCACTCTTTTGCTTCAAGAAGAATAACCGGTTTAAGCAGAGATCAGCCAAAAGTATGCCAAAAGTAACAATTTCAGAGGTAACTACAGCATTGGAAAACATGAAGAGAAATAAAGCTGCAGGAGAAGATAGTATTACCACAGATATGATATTAGAAGGAGGTAAGGAATTAATTGCAATTGTAACTAAGCTTGTGGACAGTTATTTACATCAGGGTAAAGTCCCTAAGAGCTGGAACAACTCTAAAGTAATCTTATTACACAAGAAAGGTGATAGTCGAAAATTGGAAAACTACAGACCCATCAGCCTACTGTCACACCTGTTTAAAATACTCACCAAAGTCATAACTACTCGACTAACAAGGAAATTAGACGAATACCAACCATATGAACAGGCAGGTTTTAGAAAAGGCTATTCAACTTCCGATCACCTGTTAACCACAAAAATATTAATAGAAAAATGTAACGAATACAAGTTTCCAGTTTTCCTAGCATTTGTAAACTACGAAAAAGCTTTCGATACCATAGAACACACGGCTGTAATAAACGCAATGCAAAATTGTAGAATAGACAGCAGATATATTAACTTAATAAAAGAAACTATAAACCAAGCTACAGCTACATACTACTTAAATGAAAATGAACACACGAACCCTGTACCATTAAACAAGGGAGTCAAACAGGGAGATACTTTATCACCCTAACTGTTCACCTTAGTTTTGGAGGACGTTTTTAAAAACCTAAATTGGAAATATAAGGGAATAAACATCAATGGCCGCTACCTCAGTAATCTACGATTTGCAGATGACATAATCCTGATAGCTACTGACCTACAAGAAATGCAAACTATGCTTTTAGAACTGAAGTTATAGAAAAAGTTGAAGAATATATATACTTAGGACAAAAAATAATCCTAAATAGGGAAATTTAAACAGAAGAAATAAAAAGAAGAAGAAAGTTGGCTTGGGCAGCATTCGGTAAACTGAACTATATACTCAGAAATCAACAAATTCAATTACATCTTAGATCTAAAGTTTTTGATGCATGCATTATCCCGATATTAACTTATGCGGCACAAACATGAACAATCACAAAAAAGAATATGAATATACTCAGAGTCACTCAAAACGCGATGGAAAGAGCAATGCTAGGTATATCACTTAAGGACAAGAAAACAAACACATGGATAAGACAGAAAACCAAAGTCACCGATGTGGTGCAAAAATCATTAAAGTTGAAATGGGAATACGCTGGACATGTAGCTAGGAGCGATCTAAACAAATGGCACAGATCAATTTTAACCTGGAGACCATACCAACACAAAAGACCCAGAGGCAGACCTCCTATGAGATGGACAGATGATCTGAAAAGGACTGCCGGGAAAAATTGGCTACAAGTAGCGTACAATAAAAAACAATGGAAAGGAAGACTTGAAGAGGCTTATGTTCAGATGTGGACGTGAATGGCTAGACGAAGAAGGAGAAGAAAGAACCGCTTTAAGTTCACTCTACAGTTTGTTCTAGCGGGTAAATATCATAATAGTACACTGAGATCTCATCAATAGATACGAATTAAATCACAAAATCTATTTTACTCTTTTAAATCCTGATCTAATATACTTTAGTTTGAGTGTCCAGAAAATCTTAGTGAATCGATTGTCATTAGAACCATATCATGTACAATATTAATTGTTTCTTTTATTTATATAATCTATTATATATTTTATTTATATAAAGAATCGAAAACAACTAAATCAAAACTAGGGACTAAAACCCTTGAACTAAAATATCTTGGACATATAAACAGAGGACCAAGATATGAGCTCCTTCGGCTAATTCTCAACGGTAAAATCGAAGGAAAGAAATGGATAGGACGGAAGAAACTCTCTTGGTTGAGGAGTTTGCGGCAGTGGACAGGTTTGACAGGGGACCAATCGCTACACGTAGCGCAAGACCTAGATAAGTATAACAATATTATAAGCATGGTAGTCGCCGACGTTCCGTAGGGATATGGCACTCTAAGAAGAAGAAGAAAACCCTTGAAACTTTGAAAGGTCTTTCGAAGCAAAACCTTTTCAAAATCTAAATATCAAGCCAATTATGTAGTCCGAAGTTTAGAATTATTCCGAAAAATATATTATTATATTAATAAAAAAATTTCCCGAATTGTTTGTGAATCTGTGAATAATATATTACCAAATTTAGCGGAAGACAGATGCTTTATATTATTCATTAGTGTTTTTCCGTACTGTATTTATCAAAACAATGTAGTTGACCTATTTGTCGGTAATTTATGGAATAGGGATTTAACCAAGAAGAGTTGATCTTTTTAATTGGTTTTTGATTAGATTTTCCCGGTGAACAACCTTCAGGAACAACTGGGTTGTAATAAACAGATGTTGTTTCGGGTAGGCGCAAAAAGATTACGTGTTTTGTACTCGGTAATCCGTCGATAACCCCGTTGTTTTTTTGCAATATTCGTCACAGCCAAATAAGATTTATATCAAATCGTAAACAGTTTTGTGTAGGTACTATAATTTGAGGTTATAAAAAATGTTGTTACAGTATATATTTTGTCATAAATGTTTATGAAAATCATATAATTTTAGTACAGAAAAACTATATTTCAGTTTTTTTTAAAGCATACAATGTATATAGTCCAAGTTAAGAGACAAAAATGAATGATTTTGAGAATTAATTAATGAATTTTTAATACCAGCATAGCTTTATGAAGGGCTATACTTTAAATAACCTCCAAGTATTTGCAACTCCGAACTGTAGGATATATTTTTCTTATAACACTTTCAGCTATTAAGCGTTTGATATTGTTGATAATTTTGATACTTATCATCACAATCTTCATTAACTGCATGCAATATTAAATATTTTTAAATTAAGGATGCGGACTTGAGAACATACTTTCATTCGTCTTTGTTTTGAACAATCTTCTTCCAATTCTCCTCACCCATACATTTAAAGTCTCCTGCTTTATTATCGCTCCACCAAAGTTGAGGTCGTCCACGTGTGCTTTTTCCAGTTGGTGCTTCTTCTCAGACTAGCCTTACTATTCTTTCGTCAGAATGTCTTCTGAGGTGTCCTGCAAAGTGGAGTCTTCTGAACTTTATATCTTTTTTTATTTTAGCGTTTGGATATAGTTTTTCGAGCCCTTTGTTAGCTTTTATCCTATATTGTCCTGCTGCTGCATCAAGTAAAGAAAGGTCCAAAGATCTTCCTTTCCCAAACACGGAGTCTCTCTTCGTTTGCCTTTGTTATCGTTCTATATTTTTGTACGTCTTGTAAATTGTTTCGATTTTATAGAGTTTTAAAGGGCATAAAGACATAAGTTATCGACTTGTATCTTGTTGTTTATTTCTTGTGATGTGTTATTGTCTAGAGAGTTGGCTTGTTCTATCCTGACAGTTTGGATATAGAAATAAATTTTTTCGAGCAGAGACTTATGTTCCTGGTTGTTAATCCATTTTCATCGGCATACTGCCGTATAGTTTATTACTTCCAAGTATAGTTTTAATAATGTAAACCCAACCACTGTTCGATTTTACGGTTATTTATACAAGTACTACAAAATTTAATTAAAGATTAACTAAATTTAATTGACTAATCCGAAAATATTTTAAACTTTAAATCCATTTAAATTTTTAAATTTAATTTTCATTAAATATACCACTTACAATATAACTATTTTACTTTGATGTTTTAACTATATGGTATACAGCCAACTTCCAGAAATTACCACTTTTTAGGTTAAAAAAAAATAATATTATATTTTTCAAGTTGTTCAAATATTAGTACTTACTAACGTCGAAGAAACACTTGACCTTTCCAAGGTAAGGCTGGATAGCGAAAGGTAGAACCTTCCATTCGGAAAATAACAGCGTTATGAGAGTAAGTATTAGAGGGGTTCCCCATCCATAAATGCTGTAGAATATAAATTTTCGCAATTCCGCTTCACGATAATTGGTTCCTAAATATATTTTTGTGGTACTGAAAAATATAAAAAAAAGGGTTAAGAACAAAAATTATTAAATATTTTGATTAGGTACATAAAAAAATCCCTTTTAAATTGCTAAAATATTACATTTAAATATACCGAGATTTTAAGATAATATTTAGATCAAAGGTATTTTAATTTAGCACTTATAATTATTAAATTTATACATTGTGGAAATCATTTATAGAATAAAATAGTTTAAATCCTTATTAAAAAAAAAATAAAAATACTCTTTTAGTGGATGGAGCCCCGTCTATTTTTAAATGTACATTTGAGTCTTTTAAACAGAAATATACTTGTTCAGGACCTAGCCTGTTTACATCAGAGTTATTTCTGTGTAATTTTTGATAACAACTTGCAGCAAAATAATATGAAAAATTATATATATATATATATATATATATATATATATATATATATATATATATATCAGTATGTTGGAAATATCGGGTATGTGGTCTATATTAAAATAAAAATCTTTGTTTATTCTAAAACTCAATATTTCGCTCTTTATTTAAAAGCTTCATCAGGAGTAACTGTAAAAAACAAACATTTCAAAAAACTGAGGTACACTTAGATTTACAATACTTAGAGACTTAAAAGATTTCTAAATAAAGATTTTTAAATAAAAAAAAAGTTTATTTTAATATCAAATTTATTTATGTGTGAAATCTTTTAAGTCTGTAAGTATTGTAAATCTAAGTGTACGTCAGTTTTTTGAAATGTTTGTTTTTTACAGTTACTCCTGATGAAGCTTTTAAATAAAGAGCGAAATATTGAGTTTTAGAAAAAACAAAGATTTTTATTTTAATATAGACCACATACCCGATATGTCCAACATACTGATAAATTGTTTTTTGGTCGAAATAATTACGTTAAATATATATATATATATATATATATATATATATATATATATATATATATATATACCGTGTGGTGAATCGTCAAACGGACCATAGGAAACTCAATGGTAAATTCTAAATTGTTGAATTCCTGCTTCCCTAATTATTTTACACCAAAAGTCATGGGAAACTATTTGTAGAGGACTCAAATATGTATCGAAAACAACTGTTAAAATTATTCTACGACTTAAACGTATTCCAAAATTTTGCTAAAATATAATACATTTTTCAGGCCACCCCTAAAAGTTAGGCCACACGTAATGCAAGAATATATATTAGGACGTTTGTGTTTTATCATATTTATGTCAGATGTTTGACAATTTGAATTGTCAATTTTTTTATTTTATGATTAAATTATAAACAATGAATTTTACTAAATACTACTACTAATGAACATTATTACTTTGTGAACAATAAATTATATTGTTTACAAATCGATCAATATAAATGTACTCAGTTGACGAAAAATCGCATAATGTTGTACTCTGGCAATAGCGCGAACCTTTTCCTGCCACTACCGGATCTTTATTTAACGTAAGATATTCTAATTCACTAAAATTTAATTCCATGTTAAGTAAAGTTATACAACAATTCAATGAATTCCAATATACTGTTACTGTGATCTTTATTCCTAATAATAATATATGATAACTTATAAACATAAAACTATAACAAGTGTTATAATAAAACATGAATAAAAAATTTTTATTATTGCTTTTTTCTCCTCAACTGAGTACATTTATTAATCAACTTAATTTTTTTTAACAATAAATCACAAAATTTTGGCCATTTAAATAATAGATAAATGTAATATAATTGATTTAAATATTGTCAAATATCAGAAACAATAATACTTATGACAAAACGCAACACGTAATACACATTTTTTCACAGAAAAATGTATTATATTTTAGCAAAATTTTGGAATACCTTTAAGTCGTAGAATAATTTTAACAGTTGTTTTCGATACATATTTGAGTCCTCTACAAATAGTTTCCCATGACTTTTGGTGTAAAATAATTAGGGAAGCAGGAATTCAACAATTTAGAATTTACCATTGAGTTTCCTATGGCCCGTTTGACGATTCACCACCCTGTATATATATATATATATATATATATATATATATATATATATATATATATATATATATATATATATATATAATATATATATATATATATATATATATATATATATATATATATATATATATATTCGTTGTATGGCTTTATTAACTCCAATCTCTTTAAACTCTGTGCAACCATATTCATTTAATGTTGGTAAATATTTTTATATTAAATGACATACCTGTAAATAAATGGTTATAATTTATTATATCTATATGAATTTTGAACATAGCGGCTATCAGGCAGTCAACGTTATAATTTTCGGTCATTATAATTCGGAAAAACGAGTCTCGACATATCGGTGTCAGATTACAAATTAATTTTCGTCTACTTATTCAAAATTGATTTAATTAGTGTCCTTAGAAAAGCTGAGCATGTAATTAATAAAACATGACATTGTATCGTGAAGAATTTGTATCAAAATAGCCGAGCTGTTAATTTTTTTCCGAAATTCGATATTTAAATAAGGGCAAAAATTTCAGTGACGTTTTTCATTAAATCAACAGTCTACTATATATGTACAGTAGAGTAAATCTAGTAGGTATTTCTCTTTAATGCACTTCTTGAGTTCTTTTTAAGAATTCTTTTCAACTGCGTTTTACTCTATGTCGCTTTACACAGTTTCGTTAATAACTTATTGATTAGTCCTACCTAATGTTCAAATATCAATAGTTTGCCTTTTCTTTCCCTTTAACTTCTACTTAAGCTAGTGTTTCCCAAACTTTTTAGATCAAGGACCTCTTTTCACGAAAAAAATCATTGTAATTTTACTTTCTCCATCTATGAACCAGTTACACAATTACTTTCTTCTTACGTTTTCCTTCCATATTTAACAAGATCAGGCTCTACATTAGTGCCTAGATTTTTCTGGAATTGTAAATAATCTACCAAAACAACACAATAAAAGTAAAAATAGAAGAAGAACTAACCGACCCTAATGAAGCTAGCAATGACATAAGACAGGGAGATTCCCTGAATCCTCTATTGTTCAAACTGATCATGGTAAAAGTTTTTTCCATCTTGACTTATACCATAATATGTCTATTTTATAGGTAAGAACAGTCTACGTCTAGAAATAAAAATAATAAAAGGATAAACAGATCATATAGTGACGAGTACCTTAAATATGTCTTTACAGTTATTTGTTGAAACTAGTTTGACATTTAAATAGCAAACAAAAAAGAAACAAAAACTGTAGAATTCTTTGAAAGAAAGTTAAGGTTTATAATCAGCAAGCAATTTTTTCAGCATCAACCACTACTAACTAAAGCATTACCAGCTACAGAGTTGCGTATCGCATTACAACAGCCAGTTAGCCACATACAATTGCTCTACCTTCAGTTGTTGAGATGATGCAAATAATAGTACGTAAAACACAGGCCTCAAAATAAAACCATACCCCTTTCTAATGTTACTATCCAAAGAAAAATAAGTGATATGACAAAAGATATTCGAGGACAAATTATTAAAAATATTAAAAATTGTATTTAGGTTACTTATTTATTTTCTAGAATAGTATGAATAGCACGAGATAAGGCACCAAATGGACGAAGAAGTATTGGCAGACCAAGAAAAAGATAGTGCGATAATTTAAACAATTTAGGAGGCTAATATTGAAGAAGAAACAGGCGTTAAAGCCTACATGCTAGAAGGAAGAAGAAGAAGAAGTTTATTTTCAATAAAGTTCCAACTGTGTCCAGTTTATAATATTCATAAGGTATGACGGAAAAAATAGCATCACAGAAGATAGTTTATTTTGTTCTCCACTAGAAACCAAGTGTTTATTTGCACCTTTTATGCAAAATACAGTATATCCCAAAATAAACAGTACTAGCTTGTAATTATTTTATTGTTTTAGGAATTGACACTGTATTACATGTTCTATTATTATTGACACCTTATTACTTGTTCTAAAGGTGCTCCTCCTTGTTCAAGACAGACTGGATTGTCTCAGGTCCGCGAATAAGGCTCTAACGGCATCCTTTTATTCGCAGATAGTCTGTAGTAGACGTTTAAAAATGGCAGTTTTAGCCATACCCCAAATGTGTCTGATGGTCTAAAGTCTGGAGAATGTCAAGGATAAAGTAAGTCAGTAAATCATTGCTTTGAAAGTGTCCCTGAAGAAATTGACGAATTGCTACAGCAGATGAGAAGTTGCCCCGCCCTGCTGTAAAAATTGATCTCGAAATTCAAAATTACGCTCATATAAATCAGGAATGAAGCGTGTTAAAATTTGAATGTATCTCTGTTGATTAAGTATGACTTGCCTGCCATTTTCTTCGATAAAGTACGGACCAATGACCGTGGACCGTACGGACCAGTGAAACTGCACACCAGACACTTACTTTTGCACTATGTTTGAACTTCATCTGGTCTAATAAAGCCCAGAAAATCAATTTGTGCGACGATTTATATGGCCCGACATATTAAAATGTGCTTCGTTTGGAAAACGAACGGAAAATTCAGGATTTTCATATTGTAACGTAAGATTCTGGCGCAATATTCCACTCTACTGCGATAATGCCGAGGATGTAATTGTTGATGTACCTGATCACATACGAAAATGCACCCAAATCCTTTAGGATTCTTTGCAAGAAAGTTCTGTTTAAACCAAGATACAACGCTGTCATTGCTTGATTGGATTTCGGATTTTCCAAGATTCGATCAAAAACACGTTCATGGTTATGTTGTTGATAACTATTATGGGACGCCATGAGTTTTCTTTTAGTTCGTAAAATACATTATCCGTATTTTTAAACTTTTAAATAACCTTCAAAATTACAGCATTACTTGGAGAACGTTTATTAAACCTTTGTGTGAATTAATCGCACACGTATCGCAGACTTGCACCATTAGGTCGGCTGATTCCGAATGAGCGAAAAGAATGCTCCACCATAAACACTTTCTCCTCTGTACTTAACAGCATTTTTATCAATTAGGTCTTACAAATTAATTGTT